CATTTAGCTGCCCTGAGATGCTTTTAACTGTAGGTGCAGCCCTCCAGTAATTTCCTTAGCTAATGTCTGCAAGGAGAGACGCTGCCAATCCGTCTCTCTTCATCTGATACTCTTGCTCTAACTAAACCTCACCTACTCACCACATGGCAGGCACAGAATCACTGAGCAAGCAGCTAACAGCTAATTCGAAAGGTGACAAAGCCGAAATTCTCAAACTGTAACAACTTTTTGACCTCTTCACTGTTGGCTTGTCTAATCAATCTGTAATCAATGAATGTTTTCCCTATATGCAAGCTATTAACAAAGCAAATTAATTGGCTGAATTGAAAGATTTAAAGCACATGAAAGTTCTGAGTGGTTGAAGTTTTCCAGGGGCTGCTGTGAGGGAATAGCTGCAGAGGCACTGCAATGCAGCACAAGGCAGCTTGCAGACCACTGACACTGAATATTCTTAGGGCTCAGTTCTACCCTTGCACACACTGCAGGGGGAAGGAACATGAGTATTTGAGATTAAAATGTGCAATACAGCGTTTTAGCAGCTTCATCAGGAGTCCAGTATTCTGCCTACCCCCACTCCCAAACTGTGTCTTTCAGGACAAATTGTCACTATTTCAACCAAAGTTCACTTTCCTTGGAAAATGTATTTCAGTTTCAATGCTAAAATGGTTTGTTTGTTTGTTTGTTTCCTTAATTCCTTCCATACTGGGCTATAATTTGCAACTGTTGCCATTAAAATCAGAAGCTGTCCTGCATAAAAACCTGGAAGTGTTTCCCTATGTGGTATATGTTCCCATTTTAATTTCTAATTAATTATTCAGCAGGGACACACTGTTCCATGTTAGGATAATATCCAGGCTCAGGTTTTTATTTTGCAGAAGGTCCTGCTCAGTAGCTCCATATCTGTACAATGTTTTAAGTGATCTGGGAGTTGCTAAGCTGGGAGGAGAGTTAAAATGCTTCCAGGAATATTAAAAATTGGAGAGCAAAGCTAAATATAAGTGATTGGTTCCTCTTCTAATTTTGTCCTAAGTAGCTTTTGGTCTTTAAATTCTCTTTTATTTCAACCATGCGCAGAAGATGTGAGCTGCACATGGATATAAAAAGCCACCTCTCTGAAGCCTGGGGATGGCTAGTATACTTTGAACACATGCACAAACCTCTGTATGAACTACGTCCACAGTGATAGTTAGAGATCATGATGCTTGACATTATCTGACCTCCATTTACATTGTATGTGTGTACATAAGGTACAGTACACAGGTTATCTTCAGTTCTTCAAATAAAAATAAGGAATGATTCAAAAAGCCCAGTTATGGCTCCTGTTCCTAAAGCTATAAATATATACTCTTAATGTTGAACTCTGACTTTCTAATCCCTGTGATTTGTCTTCTTGCTTCTAATAATATTTTCATATTTTTATTCATAGATTTTGCATTTATGTTTGGATTTTCATATATCTTTTTGCTCTTCTATTTCTCAGAGACATGAGGGAAATAAAAATGGTGAGTACATGAGGAAAACAGGGACTGAAGAGTGGAAGAACTGAGGAGTTGTTCCTCATTCTTCATACTACCCCTTGTATTTCCATTCAGCTCCTTCTCATGCAATCACTGCTTGTATGTTCCATTCTCCCTTTGTTCACTGTGTCTGAGCTCCTTTACAGTATTTGCTCCCGGACCACTTCCATCTGAGGGACAGACAGTGTGCTTCAGATAAACACCATCGCCAACCACAAGTTTGACAGCAGTCAAAAACTTTGTGATGCTCTTCTATCTCAGCTAGTCTCTGCATTTGTTCGTTCCAGGCAGGATGAGAAAACAAAGTGCCTTAATATCAAAAGGAAAAGTTATTCAAGTTGATGGCAAGCACTGGGGTTTTTTTGCAGGAGTTGCCATTCTCATGAGATTTGCTGCCAAGTCTATACACAGAAATGTGAGGGGAGTTCATACAAGGTTTAGATGAACTTTTGACTGTTTGAAACAAGGAAAGGGAAGTCAAACCTTTACAAGCTGTTTCTATAGGATCCACCTCATTATTTTTACCACAGCAAGGTATATTATTTGGTTTTGGAGACATTGCCAAGAATAGTGTGCTTTAACCTTTTCTTTACTGTATAAAAACTAAATCATTGGAATATAAGCTTTTCCTACTAAAAATTTTAACTGCTAATCACCAGCTGGCTTATAGTAGTAACTGGTACTTGTATCCACATCGCTTAACACCTGAAATATCAGTAGCTAAAGGTTTCACTGAATGTTTTTGTTTGCAACAACATCTAAAAGCTGAATAACCTGGAAAAAATAAAATAAAATAAAATAAAATAAAATAAAATAAAATAAAATGGTACTGGTTAACAAAATGCAGTGGTTCTTCTTGGATGTCCCCCAAAAAGCTTAAGTTGTAGTAACAACAACTCAGCTTCCAGTATGAAAATGGAAAAATTAAACTACAAGCCTACTTTGCTTATGTACTTCATACATTTTGGAAGCATTTTGAAGTGAGGAGCCCCTGAGGGAAGCACAGTTTTAAGACTGTATTTTATGACCATATTCAAATATATGCATCAAGATATGGTAAATAAGAGATCAGGTATAAATAACAGAGAAGGGACAAAGAGAGTTCTGCACGATCTCCAGAATGAAAATAAACTTTCATGCTGATACAGAGTGTGTCTTTCTGTGTGACCTGTAAATCCTTAAATAATTCCTTGTCAAGGTTATTTCAACAACTGGTTTAAAACTGTGTCTTTTTTCTTTGCTGTTAGGGATTTTTAAGAAAAAATACTTCATTTCACATCTGTATTTATACAGTCTGCAGTAACTAGCATCTCAGATTAAAATTGAATACTTCAGCAGTAATACTACATGTGCTGGACAACTACTGAATACTCTCAGCACCTTAAGAAGATTCAACCATTTCCTATTAAAAGGCTAACTTTTGGGTCCAGCTCCACTCTCTTCAGCATGTTTTGAACTATTTGCATGAAACAGCAAACTGGCTGTGCTTCACTGACAAGAACTCAGCAGCCAGGACTAGTCTGCCCTCAACAGGGTTTTCAGTGAATGGAGCAGCATTGTAGGTAAAATGGAATAAATATGCAACATGATACTTGATGGATTTCATCAGCGTAATTTGAATTGCACGCTCACTAAACCAGAATTTGGCATAGTACAGAGCTGTTAAAATATAGGGGAAAAATATGTCAACTACAAGTTCAAATATAATAGGAAAAATCTGTCAAGCAATGTTATTTTCCGTGTATTAACCATGGCATAGAACAACTGTGAAATGCCAGTGATTGCTACAAGTACTCAGACACCATGGTGATAATTGCAGTATAAAATCGCCAGACAGCAAACAAGACTGCTGGAACTAATGGGAACATGGTTTTATTCAGAACCCAGTGTGGATAGCTATCTGTAATGGAACTGCTTTTCAATACCTTTTCTTTGAAATAACTTTGATTATTACTTATGCATTTGTATATTAATATGTTCCATTTCTTTAACTACAGATAGACACTCGCAATTGCATTTGCTCTCATCTACCCACTTCTTAGTACGGCCTAGCTTATTCTGCTTGGTGACCCAAGTGCAGATACACCAATAAATGGGTGCATGATACCACATATGAAGCACAATTGGAAGTTTGACTAAAATACCAGTTGTTTTTTTATTTGTGTGTTATCATCAGAATCTGGAGGAAAAAAAGAAGATCCAATGCTGGATAAATTCTGGCAGTACCAATTCATGTTCCCTGTGTCCCTGACAAAACTGACTAGCTGAACCTGCTATTAGAGTTGTCATGTTCCAGCTGAGACCTACACGTGTCCTAGGCTGGGCACAATCAGGCAGACTTCAACAGCTTGTGTTGACAGGCCATAGCAGGACTTGTGAATTGAGCTAGAACTGTTTACTGAAAACTGATAAAGTGGTGCCAGCAAGTCTTCACAGACACCTGTAGTTGCTGAATTCATCTGGAAAGAGTTTCAAAGTAAGGACTTTGTGGAGAAAAACCACCTTCAGTTTCTACTACTCTTCCTTTCACGAATTCCATGAGAGCCTCAGAGGCATTTGGGTTGTCCCAAATCCATCCCTACTTATTCCCACTGAAACAAGATTAAACTATAGAAAGCTAAATATTAGACACCGAATTATGGATATGACACATCTCACCTTGAATGTCTTATATTTTTCTGAATTTCCTGTTGATGCTTTTGTTTAGAAAGCATCAACATTTTCTCTAGTAAGTACTTGTTGTCTGGGTCAAATTGCCCTGAGGGCGCAAGGACACCGTCATCCAAAAGTAATAATGAGAAGCTCTATGCATTTAGCAGGAAGCATTTATCTGTGTTTAATTCTGATCTGACAGTCTGAAGCAACTTCAGATCTTTCTGGTGTTTCACCGAATTCTGGATATGACACATCTCACCTTAAATGTCTTATACTTTTCCTGAATTTCCTGTTGATGCTTTTATTTAGAAAGCATCAACATTTTCTCTAGTAAGTACTTGTTGTCTGGGTCAAATTGCCCTGAGGGCGCAAGGACACCGTCATCCAAAAGTAATAATGAGAAGCTCTATGCATTTAGCAGGAAGCATTTATCTGTGTTTAATTCTGATCTGACAGTCTGAAGCAACTTCAGATCTTTCTGGTGTTTCTGTTCATTCTTATCTTTTGCACTATCTGTTTCCAGAAGGAGAATAGAAGAGAACTTGAAATGAGCAATAATGAAAATAAAATGATAAACTAAGTGTCGATTACTTATTATATCACATTTAAAGATAGTTCTTACAGTTGCATAAAATACTTCTAAAAGCAAACTCTCTGTTAAAAATACAGCCATTTCCTTGGGATAGAATTGCCACTTCAGTATTAATTCCAGACGACTTCTGACAATAGCTGGGAAAAGCACTATCTACAGCAGCCTCACCCTGTTAAACAGGTGGCTTTAGAGCACTTATCTTTTACCGTATGACTTAAGTTTATTATTTTGCTTACCCTCTGGCTGGTATTGTGCTATGATTGTTACCGTCTGCCCCGCTCCCTTCAGCGCAGCTGCAGCCTGCTCATGGGTAGCACCTCGAAGATCAATACCATTCACCTGCAGGAGGAACGCAAACAACAACAGATCTGAGTAGTTTCACATCAGACAGAAAGGCAGAGGAGGGTTGTTTCTTTAAATAACTGATGGATGTAAAGGTCAGGCTGCTGAGATGCAAAAGGGAAAGTACAACATCAAAATAGCTGGGAGGATGTCACCTGTGAGAGGCCATGAGGACCTGCACTAACACTGCACCCCATAGCTTGTCTATGCTTACGTGCACATCCGCTGACCGCTACTTTCTGGGGTTTCCTGCTCCACTGAGTTTACATTTTCGGTAATCTCTTCATCAATCAAACAATATAATTTAATATGTAGGGTTCAAAAGATAAATCTGTTTGCAGGTCACTGCGGAATACTGCAAGTAAGGAAACTGCTCCTTCAGCCAGGCTCTGCCAGTCCAGTCTGTAGCATCAGAGAAACCTCTAACAAAAATCGCTGGTTGGAGAACTACAGTAGAAACCCCATCTACCTTTTTCTTTTCATGCAATCCCTCCACCTATTGCCCAGGTATACCTCCATATCTTGCACGTGATAGCAATGGAGTTGCTATCAGACACAGTTTCACTGCCTCAGGCTGTTCTGCATTAATAGATCTTTCCATGGGGACCCTCTTACTTAATTTTTTGCTGCATAAGCAGTGGAAGTGGAACAGAGTAGAACAAAGAAGGGAATCCACCCCTAAAGCTCAGGGGCAGTTTCATAACTCTTTGTATTTGTGACATTACATGTTTTGTGGGCAGCAAAGAGACAAAATTCATATATAGAATTATTAACTGCTCCTGTGAGCCTTTTCTTGCAGTGAGAGTGTTACCATCTGGCGATGCTGAAGCATGTGAGATTTCTTATTTGTTTATATATTTATTTGCCTTTCCCCTTCACTTCTACAGGTTTCCACTTCATGATGTTTCAGTGAAGAACTGGATACTTTGGACATATAAACTTCAGCATGAGATACATCCATTTCTGACTACTCAAGAAAAGAAAACTAAAAAGAAAGGGGGAGGGAGAAAAAGAACATAGATCTCACAGGAATTTGAGTTGCAGCCGGTGTGGAGAATGCAAGCTTCCTGAAAGGAATACAATTTGGGCTACTGCTGTAGAAAAAATAGGTGTTGTGTCCTACTTTTCCTGAGTGATGGTGTTACGACACTTGATGCTGCATTGCCACTGGCACAGAGGTACCAGCACTACAGTTACTCATTCACTCAGCACTGTAGTCACAGCTTTGGTATTGTGGAGATTCCGAGAAGAATCCTTAAGTTTAGGCAGCACAGTGCCTGTATCATGCCATAAAGGAAACCTCAGCCTGGATTCACTGCCTTCGAAGAAGAAAATTTCACCTTTCCTTTAATAGATTGGCTTATTGATATATTTTTCCCTTTCATAACTGGAGTCCCTGAAAGAGTCCTGAGAAAGAAGTAATAGAATGAACTGAAGGAAAGCTTAAAGGATTATTCCTGAATTCCTGAGCTGGGGAGATGGATATGAATGATGTCACCTGGGCAGTATTAGAAGGTCCAGGAAAAAAAAAACCTAGTAATTTTATTTAGGCTTAAGCCTGAAGACTGTAGACTTCAGGAGAACACAAGCCTCTCTTAAGCAATACAGGAAACCATCGTGGTGGTCTGTTAAGAGTTGTGTTAACAGAACATGAAGCTCTAATAGTAATTAATAAATTGTAATAATCTCTCTCTATATAAAAAGAGATGATGTAGAAAAGAATAAAGAAATCACATGCTTATTCTCCTCTGAAAAACAACAGTTCTATCTGCACGTGATCTAATAACTAAGAATGCATCAAGAATATAAATATGACAGGAATTCCACCAAAGTTAAGTTATATAAGTATTTTTCACTTTTCCACAGAACACCAAGAAGCCACTGAACTAGCAGGTGACTTCTTTGTGCCCTTTGTGGGCTCATTCTAGAAGAAATGATTGCCTAAGGTGCAAACATAACACATTATAGTGAGTGAATGCCTCTGAAATGAAGTTTCCTTTTCTGCTAGGATATAGGCAAGGAAGGACAATTGAGGAGGACTTACAGGTCTGAGTGGCTGAAATCAAAAGAACAAGGAAAAGGTATGTCACAGAGAAAATCAACTCTTATCTCCTGTAATTTTTACCAAGATGCTAAACAAGCTAGGCAAAAGAGATGAAGAAATGTTGAACAGGCAAATGACCACTGGGTTGCCAAAATGCTGATGTCCCTCTTGAAGACACACAGCTGCAGAGTGAAACCAAACAAACATTGCCATACAGGTAGGTAGAAGGTTGTTGCATGCTATTTTGCTCACCAATACCTGACAGAATCTCACTGCAGAATAATAGGTGTTAAATTTAGAAAGGACTTATAACCTAATTTGACTTCCTAAAGAACAAGAAGAGCAGATGCTAAATTGATTTTTTGGCTATTATTTCCCAATATTTAAAAGCAAACATAATCAAGACCCAAACCTTCTAGTTGAAAAACAGCATATTCATGTACCAACATTAAATCTTGATGAAAGACACCATTAATTTACACATTTTAATCAAATTCTTACTGTCTAGCTGAAATGAACGAGAGTTTATGAAAGGGTAAGACAAATACTCTGTCTTGCCTCTTCCTCCAAACAACATCTTAATTATGACAGTTGTGTGCAGTGATTTTTTCCCCTGACATGATCTCATTGCAAATTGCTAAATCTGATTTCAGCCACTGCTTTCAATTAATTTGAGGTAGTTTATGTTAAGAATAATCAGGAAAAGAAACGAACAAGAAGAAAACCAACAGAAGAAGTTGCAAGTGTGTGCAGGAAAGTTTAATACATACCAAAGGAGGTTTTGGTTTTTGCTTTTTCTTTGCCTGTTAAATGGGCTTCCTTCAAGAAGCGTTACACAACGAGCAAAGTAGCACTGCTGTTATGAGCTTCACTGCATAATCCTGATGTCCTGGCCCAAAATGAACTTGACTGCACAATTTCTGATGCCTAACTCCAAAATGAATTTGACATAATGGAAATAAGAAGAGCCTCCAGCTTACACAGACGTCTGTCTCTTCTGCATGCTGTGGCGGTTAGAAAGCTTACAAACAAAGAGAAGTGCTGTGATGCAAGATTACAGTTTAAAACTACAGACAAAACTGAACTGGAATGGAGAGAAAGATGCAACTGCAGTTCACAGTAATTACAGTAATTGCCTTTGCATGTATTGACTGAAAGTAAAGCATGATGTACTTCATTAAATACTTAATCATAAAGTAAATGAAAGATAAGATTTACATTTTGGATAGATAGAACTCGTCTAAAACTGGAAGAGTTATATTCCCTTTAAAATATCTGAAGAGCCCATATTAGCACAAATTTGTTCAATCCTGAATAGTGCCACTTAAAGACTTACTACAGTCTGGTTGTGTTCTGTTAGAATGCTTGAACATGACTCATGTGTAGGTCATTCAAATAGAGGCTAGCAGAATAATGTGTTTTATTTAGCCATTTACTTATTTAAGCCACCTTATTTTGGTTTTGTACAGTGAATAAATGAACACTTGGAATGTCTTGTTGAATTGGAAGAGAAAGGAAAAATATATCCCTTCCCTGGAGAGGAAACATAAAGGATTACTTTTCATTTCTTCTTTGAACTGTCACTGATGCAATACAGTGCTTTTATACAGTAAAATAAATGGTGAGGAAAAGGCACCTTTTAAAATGGAACAAACAATACAGCAGATTTTTTCAAGTTGTGGCTGAATTCTTGTATTTGTTGAACTCATAAAATAAGAGCTTTTGGTGCCTGAAAAAACAAACTGAAGTCTTAATAAAGACAACTCTTTACTGCTGGAACTGCCATTGTTTGCATTAAGCTACAAGGAACCCTATTTATCTGCCTTGGTATGTCTAACTCGGTATGTGAATGTAAGTATTCTTAAGCAGATTAATGAGAGATGAGAAGAAAGTTGAGACATGTTCTCTAGCAGTCCTGCTTAGTCATTAGAAATCGAATACATAGCATCAACCATTAGGTGATGGAAGCATGGTCTTCCAGTAAGACAAGGAACACTGGAAAAACACACATCACAGATAGTCTGCCCTGAACATATCTGGGGATCATTCTACACAACAGCCCCACAAGCGATTCAGTCCAGCAAAAAATACAATAATCCTAAGAAACTCATCCATGTCACCAAAGCACAGCCCTTGAGCAGCCGTTTGGCTTGGCTGAGATAAGCCATCATTTGCCAAGCGAAGCATCATTTACTGAGGCTCTGCAGAGCACTGCAGCTCCATGAACCCACCCCAGGGCACAGCAGTAGGAAACCACCCTGGGGCAACTGCTGGTACAGGGGAGTTACAGCCTTAACGGTGAACGTAACATTTAGAAATAGAAAAGACAGAGAAATGAAGAGGGGGAAGAGGCTGCACTCTCCAGCTTAGCTTCTGCTAAATTTTCAGGCTCACGTTATTCCTTTTCCCTCATTTTTCTCACTTCTAATCTTTTCTGCATCTACACTTCTGATTAGTTAAAACTGCTTAGTTCAGCACATATAAGCACTGTGGTTGTCTCATCCTGAACTCCACTGAAAACATACTATCATGACAAGTCTGCTGTTCTCCATGCCCAGCATCCTCCTTCCCTCTTTTTATGGGCCAGCAATTTCAATGACCTTTTCAATTTTGTCTTGCTACCTTAGAGTTATGATTTATGCCTCTAGTGAGCTGGTCTTTACGCTCTGATGAGCTGGGCATTCTAAAGGCAAACTCTTCTCTCTCTGGAAAACAAGAAACACTGTGGGGGCACAAGCTACATCATTTAGTATGCCTTTTTTGCCAGGAAGCTTAAGGAGGCAGCTAAAGCAGCTGAAAGAGGTATCAAAGCATTACATCGTTGAAGCAAGAGGAAAATTAATATTACGTTATTGAAGAGGTGTCTTGCACACACTGCCTTTCACAGTAGGAACCAATAAGCTTTATGACTCACCAGACCACATGAATCATTCCAAATGATACCTGTTAAGCC